AGAAGAAAACTTACCTTTCTCTTTTGTACCTTTAAAAGTTAGTTCTTATATGTATTAGTCTGTTCTTAAAGAAAAAATATTTAGTGTGCAGGAGGTACTGGATTCAATACCAACACTGCTAATAATAACAACAATAATAATAATGGTAATAACAATAACAACAACAATAATAATATGCTTAAAACACATCTATTGTCCTCTCTCTAATAACATTTGGAGGGAACTAAAAGTGTTTCTGAAACCAGATGCTCTTTGGGGCTGGTCCTGTCCTTATTCCCTGGGAGACACAAAAGAATGTGAAATCATTGTCACTGAAAGTGGAAATTGTTAGTAACCACCACCAGCAAGGATACAAGGAAGTGGCCCAGGTGACCTGAAGAACCAGGTAAGGTGCCTGGCCCAGAGAGTGTGCTCCAGGTGCTTAGGGAAGGAGCTGGCTGGTATCTGCTTGGGAAACATGTGCTCACTGCTGAGTGTCAGCACTGTTGTGAGCATTGCCACTGCCCAATGTTTCCAGGACGCAGGCCTGCAGGAGCACAGTACTTAGCCAGTGTTCTGAGAATGACTGTTACCTTGTGTCCAGTCGGTTGAAGTTGAGGCCAGCTGCTAGCTCATGACTCATGACAGAGTTGGGTGGAGGGAGGGAGTTGCCCCGGCAGTATTATAAATGCCACAAGCCAGCCCCTGTGACGCAGGACTGGTGAGCCAGTGTTTGTACTTCCCTCTTCTGATTTTTCTGGTCTGTCAAGGCCTTCCACAGCCTGACTACATGCCCTGATCATTTTGTCCATCTACCACCCTCAGACTGTCTCCACCATCCTAGTCCTGCAGGCTCTGCTCCCAGGCACCTTGCTCCAGCACCTGTCCCCACCTGGCCAGCTCCTGATTCCTGCCTTTTCCTCCAGCCTCTTTAACCTCATTCAGAAGTTGTTCTTATTCCATGGCTTCACTCTGGCTTACTTCCTACCTCACGGTACACTTCAGTCTGCATTCCCTAACAAGCTGCGGTTCTTCAGGTGGGGCTTCATATTCTTCTACTGTGTCCTCTCAGCCCTATTAGATCCCCACTCCATGCTGTCTGAAGGGCTAAATGATGTACTCTCCCTCCTTAAACCTGCCCGCCTAGGAAAAACACCACAGGGTGAGGAAAATTCTACCTTTCAGGCCACCACATAGTCACCTGCAGCTATGCCCCCAGCAACAGGCAGAGTGCCTCACATTCCTGAAATACCTCTCTTGTTTGTGACGGAGCAGTTCATCTGGTAAAGATTTCAAGGTAACCCCCTGAAAGTCAGGGTAGGCTGGGACTTGGTTGCAGCTCTCCCTTTAGCTGGATTCCTTAGTTTCTTTCATTAGAGCTCTTTTCCTCTATGCTTAGCTACTTAATTACCCTGAAAATTAGGAGTTTTGCTTCAGAGAGGGAGAAGTTGTGAAGTAGAAAAGTAAAAGCCATGCCTCTTTCCACCTCCCTATCTCTCCCTAAAAGTAATCACCATTGAGCTAGGGATTTAGCTTAGTGGTCCTGCTGCCTGCCTCACAATGGCAAGGACCAGAGTTCCATCCCTGGTACAAAAAGAAAAAAAAAAAAAATCACCATTAGTCATTTCTTGCGTGTCTTTCCAGAAGAAAAGTTTTGTGTTTTTATCAGCATATTAATAGTCTACACATTTTTACACACACGCACACACAATCTCTCCTTGGTTTTCACATGTTCAAGTTTCTCTCATTTAAGAAAACTGAATCTCCTTTCACTGAACCCAGCACACTTCATTTTCCTCCTTGTCTCTGAAGTTACATTTTTGCTGTATCCTGATCTGTTTCCTCCTCTTTTATTCTTTTGCTCAATCCCTGTCATTTCCAAGGTCCCCTCGCAACTCCAAAACTCTCTCCAAAGACATCATTAGTTTTCATCTATCTGGGTGGTAATGTCCTGGATTCTTCTGGCCAACTCCCACCTCCTGGGGAGTCCTGCCCTCTTTCCTGCTAGCCTCCCAGGGCCATCCTTGAGTATGGCTGCCTACTTATTGCAGTGGAGACTCTCCAGGCTCTAAGAAAAGCCCCTCCCTTCTCCTGTCTGCCTAGCATGGTGCTTGGCACATGGTGATTGGGATGACTGTGGATGAGTCACTAATAACATGTGAAGAAGCGAAGAGACACATGTTAGAACTCTACCACACAGCTCATTCTGTCAATGGCTAGTGGAATTGATCTTTAAAAGAAACAGATCTATTTTCCCATTTGCCTATTGAAAGACACTTTGGTTTATGCTGTCTAACTTTTTTACTTCAGTAAGTATCCCTCTATAATATTTTTCAGCTGTGCTGCATAGCAAATTCTTACAAGGGAATTGCTGAGTCAAAGGGACATGTGTTAAAAGTGTGTTCAGTATACTTTCTCCTCACAGGGTGTAGGGGAGAACACCTGTCTTCCCTACCTCCTCTCCACTTCAGGCTAGCACCCTAGAGATGTCAATCCAAGGGTGAAAACTGATCTAGAACTTTTGATTTGCATTTCCTTCATTGTGATCTGGTAAGGATAATGTTTAAAAACAAGCACAAGAAGTCTTAAACTGTTGTCTTGGGTCAGAGCACAGTAGGGTGGTTGAAGAGTTAATGCATAACAGAGACTTAGAGGCTGAACCCACAGAGCCCAGGGGGTAACTAGAAGTGAGATAAAGCTTGGCATCTCTGCTTGAATTTTATATGTCTACCTCATCATCTCAAAACTTTGAGCCAGACCCCTGTTCAGATCTGCATACAGGATATTAATCACTTAGGGATTATCCTTAGAATGAGGTTTATTAGCCCCAACTTTACTTATCTTATTTCATCCCCCTCCAAGACTGAGGATACCAAGATAAGGATAACTAAACTAATTTTCAGGATTTTCCAGAATACTCAATTACCAGATTTACCAGGTTTCCCTGGAACAATGCCTAGATGTCTTGAGTCATTATCCCAAAAGTGCAGCCACAGAGCCTAGCAGGCAACCTCATGATGCAGTCAGCCCCTCAAGACAGGAGCAGGAGCTGAAATTTGGCCTCGTATGACACATGAAGGTTCTCCCAGGACCTCGCAAAATTGATCCTGAGATACACTCAACCAGACCGCAGTCTGAATGGGATTCCCTGTGCTGCTGGCTGGCTTTGTAACAACACCCCTCCCCCATTATGCAAGCCCCCAACCTTTGTCTTTGTTCCCCTTTTCTACAAAACCATAAGATTTCCATCCACACCTAGGAGGCAGAATTTAAATTTCTTTATCTGTCCTCCCAGGTTGCCATGCATGATTAAAGGTCATTTCTGCCCTTTTCCACTGCTGTCTCCTTGATCTGCATGATGGTGAAGGTGGCCACCATGTTGGGATCCCCAGAACTGGGGTCTTTGCTTCCATAAAGGCAGTGGGTGCAACTAGTCTGCCTGCCCAGCATGACTGCCATGCATGTCTATCACCTCTTGAGGTAACTATGGAAAGCCCTAGTGCATCCAGGAATGTGCAGATGAGGCCACCAAGACAAGGTGGAGGATCTAACCAGGCGTGAGCCTCCTGTTGGACATATCCCAGCTCTGCCTCTGCACTGGCATGACACCCACTCTGAGGTCTTTGTCAAATTCCAGTGGAACCACTAGGCCATGACTTCCATACTGAGGACTCTGCCCAGGGAGCTGCTGGCCCAGTGCATCTTGCTTCAGTGTACAGGTCACAAAACAGCACAGGAGTCACTTGTAAGAGGTACAGGAACTGAGCAAGGCAGCAGCAGCTTTGAGAAAGACTGTGAAGCAGAGCTAAAATGGTAACCTTCCACCTCCACTGGGGCAGGAGACTTAGGGCACATTGAAGTCTCCAGTGGGAACCAGAAACGCCTCCTCTTCTCCCAAATATGAACTCTATAAAAAGGACTCAGTCTGTTTTGTTCTTCTTCACATCCTGAGCTCTGGGCTTGTGCCAGGTTTAAAGATGTCTTTAAACAGAAATGTAGGGAAGGAAGTGGATTGGGAGAAAGAGAGGAATCAAGATATATTATGTACAGGTACAAACTCCCTTTGATGAATGTGATCGTTACATATATTTAAATTTTACCAATAAAATTAATTTTAAAACCCACAAAAAACAGAAATGCACATAAAGTTGTATATTTATTGACAAAAATGCTGTGACCAGAGGCTCGAGTCCTGACTTTGTGTTTCCGCCAGAAGCTATGGTTCCGAACTCTCTGCTGCAATGTACAAGACAACTTTGCAGAACACAGCCATTGCAAAGGACTTCCAGGAGAAAGGCCACTCCCTGCCTGGTTCCTGGCAACTGAGGGTGAGTGTGGGGAGCCTCCTTTCTGCCTATCTGACTCATGGGCAGCTTTTCTCATGCAAATGTTTCAAAGAACTTGAATTCATGCAAAGGTTTTTCAGGTTATAGGTGAACAATAAATCTGAACGTTCTTCCCAGACTAAGCTATTTGGAGACTAAACTCAGAACCAGCAAGCACTTCTGTCCTTGACTACCAGCTGGGCTCTGTGACGCCCACCCATGTCATGTCAGAGCCTGCAGGAGAGGGGCAGGCAGAACTCTAGGACATCGGAGCCCCTACTGACTAAATGTGTCTGTCTCTTCAGGGAACAGAAGGCGGCTCTGGGCTCCTGGACATCTTCCCAGTGATCCTCTGACTCAGTTAACCTTCTGACAAAATAGATTCTTGGGTGTGAATATTTGAGATTCTTGGTATTTGCCACTCTTGCGGATTCTTAAAACATTTATATTCTAAACTGAGACATTATGTATTTTTATCTGAAATGGATCAAAAGGGACTTTTACAATAAGAATTGTATGATCCTGTCTATTCAGAGTGGCCAGACAGTGGAGAGATGTTGCTATGCAACACTGCACATCCTCCTTCCAGAAGGCTCCATTGTCTCCTGGCAACAGACCCCTATTGTCTCCTGCCTGGTGCGACCTTCATGTTGCCTGATTGGCCAGCTTCACGCCTCTCTTCTGGTCACAGTTGCTCACTCCAACAGCAGCTGGATTAATTGAGCACAATATTCCTCTGCCATCCCTGCTGGGTCCCCCTGCCAAGTGCCAGGATTCATAGAACCAAAGATGAAGCCTTTGCCGTCAGTGTAAGTCCAGCCCAGTTTAGAATGAGATACAGAAACTGATGATTTCACTACAGTGTAGCAAGTGTTAATATAAGGAAAGAAAATACCGTTCCGTCCAAACAGCTGTACCAGATTTCCTCAGCAGGGCACTGGCTTTACTTGGGAAGTAACTTCATAAACTATGGGGGTAGGCTTTGGTGCACAGGGCCCAAGTATGCTTAAAGGAGCAGGGGTGGTAGCTCTTGAAAGAGAGAGGAAAGGGAGGATGAGGGTTGTGGCCCCGCTAGGAGAGATCTTGGCTGGAGGAGCTGCTCCAAGAGTGATGTGAATTTTAAATGCTTTTAAAGTAGCCCTAGAAGGGGGGTGATCAAAGAGGAGGGACTCCAGCTGCTTGTGAGTGATATGTGCCCTGCAGAGATAAGAGCATCCAGGGAACACAGAGAAAAGACAGCTTGGCCACAGCTGGGAAATGGCATGAAGGTGATGTTGGGAACACAGTCCCCAGCCCCAACAGTTCAGAAGCATCTTGGACAGGGTGCAGATTTCTGACACCCTGGGCAATGGGATAGGAATGGATACTCCCCGGGTCTGAGTGGGTGGTGCAAGCCAGGCTGCCCTGAAATACTGCTGAGAGAAGGGGAGGTGAGGAGAGGCATGAACAGAAGCAGAGGGAGCAAGAGGCCATCTGTAAATTAGTCAGAAGCCTCAGAGTAGCAAGTGTGTCTTAACACACTGAAGCCCCACATGGTAAGTGAGGACAGAAAGTTTCAAACATGACATCCTAGCTTCTGAAAAGACAACAGCATTTTTTTTTTTCAAATTAAAATGTCACACGGGGGTGGTTTATCTACCTTCCAAAATGGTGCTGTGTCCTGAAATAGATGATAGATGGGGGAGAGGGAGAGGGATGATAGATGAGTAGATAATCAATGAGAAACAGACAGCAAAGAGAAACCTAGGCTGTCTCTCAAGGAGAAAATCTAAGATTTGCTCTTTGACTATGAATATATTTTGTTCTGCAACTTGTTGGAAGACTCCCCTTGTGCACATCACATGCAAAGCCAGACACTAGATAGGATCCACTTGGCACATAAATGTTTGCCTAAAGAATGAACCTATGGATGACCAGAATCCAGCCTTCATCGGAGTGCCCCTGAGCCACACTACCCTGTGTTCCTGTAAGAGCCAAACAGTTCACTTTGAGGCAAAATTTAAGATAGGCTCCCAGAGGAGGCTGGGGCTTTAGCTCAGTCGTGCCTCCATCTACCTTGCAAGTGCAAGGTCCTGACTTTGATCCCCAGTACAAAAAAAAAAAAAAAAAAAAAAAAAAAAGATAGGCTGCCAGAGTCCTCACAGTCTCTTCTCAGCCTGGGAGATGAGAATAGGCCCAGGTACAACGTCTAAATTTGTTTTACCCATGGCAGTGAAACAGATCCTAGGCCTGGGCATGGACAATTACGGCAAAGGGAAGGACAAGGAGAGGCAGGGCAAAGAGGAATTCCAGTAACCACCCTACCCTTAGGTGAGTGCTTCAGTGCACTAAGCAGGGAGCAGTTCTCAGAAAATTAGGTGGCTTACAGGAGGGACCTGGTTTCCTCAATTTACAGTAAGAGTTATATTGATGATCTTATCTTTGTGTCTTGCTAAGGTGCCCTTTGAGTATGAAGGTAACAGAGAGCAGTGCCCAAAGGTCCTCCAAAAAGGTGGTTGAAAATGGAGTCTACCAAACCAACAGAGGAAGCCAAACATAAAAAGATATATACAGTGATGACTCTACATAAACAGAGTTGAAACGATTCTATGGTAGAAATGGAGGTTTTAGAATAAAATGTAAATCTTACAGTAGATAGCCCAGGAAAGTAGGAGAGGAGGAGAAGAAATACAAGAAAGCTAATCTCCTTATTCATACAAAGGAGTTGGAAGATAATGTCTAAAATTAAAACATCTTTATTTATTTACTGCTTATTAATAATTTCCTTAATTTTATCAGGTTATTTTAGATATTAATATCTTTAATAGTAAGGAAATATTTACCTGAAATTCAGCAATTTTTCAATCTTCAGGTTTTTTCTGCTAAATTCAAGCACCATCACACTAAAACATTGGTTGAAGTAGGACGTACAGAACACCCACAAAATAAAAAGCTATCAAGAGACAGCATTAAGAGTTATGTGACAAACTATAGGATATGGGAAGGTATTTACAACACAATCCTAACAAACCAGTTAGAAAAATCAGGCAAAAGATAAATAGGCATTTGACATAACAGATATCCCAGGGGCTTGGCCTCATTAGTCTTCAGAGACACATAAGTTGAATAAGACCATCATGCCAGCTAAAATAAAGAAACAAAACAAAACAAAAAACACCTGAAATGTGAAGGGTGGACAATTCTGGGGATCCCTGGAACTCTCATGTACTCTAGCTGACCAGATGCCAGGGTGGAAAAAGTGCCTTTTCTGATCAAAGTAGAGCATATGCTCTAGGGCCCAAGACTCACCTCCTGTATGATGCTAACAGAATTGTGTACAAATGTCTACCCACACATGGGTAGGAGTGCCCATAGCAAGATTATTGATAAAAGCCCAGTCTGAAATAGCCCAGATGTCCATTAACATTTTAGGACATGGCTACATTATGGATATAATGGAACATCACACAGCAGTAACAGTGAACAAATATATGCATCATTGCTGAACATAATTTTGAGCTAGAGGAGTCAGATAAAGTGAGTGATAATTCCTTTTATAAAATATGAAAGCAAGACCAGCATGGTGGCAGACACTGGTAGACCGAAGTAGGAGGATGACAAGTTTGACCCACCCTGGGTATCTTAGCCACTTCAGGGATACCCTGTCTCAAAATACAAAATAAAAAGTGCTCAGTGTAAAGGCCCGGGGGGGTGTGTGTGAAAAAGTGAAAAGAAAAAGGCAAAATTATGCTGTTAGAAGTCAAGATAGTGGTGCTTTGGGGAAGCAGGAGGGAACAATGTTTCCTTCATATAGTACTTCCATACAAAGTTTCCAATTTTAAACATTAAAGAATCAGGGCATCGTCATTCTGGTAAAATTTCTCTGTGCCTCTATGCTTAGGCTCCCACTGAGAGACATCTGGGGTGGGGGATGTTCACAGCATATCCATGAAGGCTCTTCTTGAGTGGTGGGATTCGGGATGACTCTCTCTGTACTATTGCCTGCACTTCAAGAATGTACACATCATTTCTGCAGGAATATAGTGGTGGCATTTTGCCCCAGAGCAGCTCGGTCTTGTTCCATAAGGAGGATGCTGAAAGCCAAGCTGGACTGGAAGAGCACAAATGCCCAGGACAGTGCAGCTGCAGAGGGGTACACTCTGCTCACAGGAGAGGACCAGGCAGAGAGCATGAAGAATGCTCCCCAGAGTTTTCATCCCAGTGCCTCCCACGGGCTCAAGGCATCACAGTGCTTTGGCTGGCTCTTGCTTGGGACATTTGGTAGACATCCGAGTCATTCCACAGCATATTTCCACCAAAGTTCCCCCAAGAGGAGTTATTTCTGGAAACCACTCCTAGGCTTGTCTGATCTCTGCTAACGTGCAAGTTCCTATTAACTTTAAGCAGTGAGTCTTGTCTATAATTTTTTTCTTTTGTTTGTTTGTTTTTTGAGACAGGGTCTCACTATGTAGTTGAGACTGCCCTGGAACTCACTATGTAGCCCAGGCTGGTCTCGAACTCACAGCAATCCTTCTGCCTCAGCCTCCCAAGTGCTGGGATTACAGGCGTGCGCCACCATGCCCGGCAGTCTTGTCTACAATTTTTTTGCCTCACGATTTCCTGTGCTAAATTTGGACCTAACTCATGTTTGGGCAGATGTTCATCCATAATTTCATTTTATCCTCTTAATATAGTTGTGAATTTCAGCATAGCCATGAGCTCTCCATCTGGTCAGAGGGGATTTAAATGACATCTTCCACGGTTATTTATCAAACCAAGGCACTTGCTATGGAAGGACACATTCAAACTTGGGTTATACTATCCAGAATCCCTGTGGTAATGAGTTATATCTAGTTTGAGCTACCTCCAGCACCCAGGAAAGGGCTGTGGTTGAGAAATGATGAATGAGGAAAGCACCATCCTTGCCTTTATGAGCCTCCAGCTAGTGAAGGGAAGAAAATGAAGTAACCTGGAAAAGAATATGTGAGCCCAGAAGATAGAAGAGCTACGTCTTTAAGGATTAAAGAGTGCTTTGAGCTGAGCTTTAATGAATGAATGAATGAATATATAAAGAATTTTAACAGAGTGAGAAATAGGCTGAAGTGACTTCAGGTAGTGGGAAGGGCTTAAACTGGGAAAACTGTGCACGCAGGGAAAAGCAAATCATCTGGTGCGGGAGGGAAGGACAGTGTAGGAGGACGGCTAAGAAGAAGCTAAAGGTTTTGAATTATGGTTTTTTTTTTGTTGTTGTTGTTATTGTTGTTACCAGGGATCAAACTAGGGACCTTGCACTTGCAAGGCAGGTGGTAGAACCACTGAGCTAAATCCCCAGCTGATACCAGCTTAATACAGCTAACACAGCCAACTAGAGACTTAACTCATCTAAATGTCTATTTCAAGCTAGACTTAGCCCATTCTTGTGATTCTCTCTGGGTGGATTCCAGAGAACATCCCAGGCCTGAGGGACAGACAGCTGTCTGGCACATGGGAAGGTCCCCATAGCATGATCACAGGAAGGCAGGTGGTATCTAAATTTGGGCCATTCAGGAAAGCAGAAAACCTAGAGGTTGTTTTTTATTTACCTGAAATGAGTTCATCTTCCAAACCAGAAAATGGATTTTTTCTAGATCAATTTACTGAAATAACAGATCAAAACATGGCCCACATTCTATAACAGTTTATTTTTACCATGTGTATTTTTCTTCTCCTTTGGAAGGCTATTGCTTTCTTATACATCACCTGACTGTTCCTAAATTCTTTTCATTATCTTAACAGAAACATAGTAGATTATGCATTTCATTTTTAAGACCCTATTCTACATTCACTAAAATTTTAGTTAAAGAAAACTCAAACTATTCATATTATATTAATTCATGTGGAAGGCAATATTAATTTTATGATTGCCAACTAATAACAATGTAGGACACATTTCAGATGTGTTGGTATATGATAAACAAACAATGATGCCATATTTCTTTGAACTTTTACTTCACTTCTATATTGATTTTGATGCAGTCTTGCTATGTTGCTCAGGCTGGTCTCAAACTCCAGGGTCAAGTGATCCTCCCATTAGCCTCCTGTATCGTTGAGGCTATGGGTGCATGCTCCCAAACACAGCTCTGGAATTTCATTTTTAAGAAAAGGGGTTAAAAATTAAGAGTGTGGTTCAAGTGGATAGTATACACTTGGTTGAGTTAAGAAATGTGTATTCAGCAGCCTCTTTTCAGGAGGCTCCTTACCATGCTGCCCTAGAGTAAAGGGTGTGGGATTAGCCTTGGCCAGAGGAAGCAGATGATCTGGTAGTAGAGAGAAGCAGGTGCACAGGTTAGGCTCACAGGAGGGAGAACAGCATCAGTCTGCCAATGCTGAGAAGGAGGTGACTCTTACAGACTTCAAATTTGCAGAGGTATCCCTTGAGATAGACCTTGAAGAATAGGAAGACATACATCAAAGTCAACAGGTCTCAAGGGCAACCAAATGGAATTATTTTTATTTTACAGTTGAGGAAACTGAGGCCAGACTCTGAATTGGAACTATGAGGTACCTGATTCTTACAAGTATTAAGGAGGAGGTGGGAGACAACACATAGCATTTTCTACTTCGAAGAAAGAGACCACACAGCAGTTCAGGAGAAAGGAAAGGTTTTTTTTTGTTGCTTCTGCTTTTGTTTGTTTCTATTTTTTTTTTTTTTTTATTTTTTTTTTTTTTTTTGGTACCGGGGATCGAACTCGGGTCCTTGCGCTTGCGAGGCAGCCCACCGAACCGCTGAGCTAAATCCCGACCCTGTTTGTTTGTATTTTAAAATTAAAAATAAAGGAATCCCAAGGGCTCCCAAAGAATTCAAATGAGGAAATAGGGCAAACTGGGAGTTCACTGTTAGAGGAACACACACAGGCTGAGGCCTCCCATACCCCTCTCTCCCAGTTTGCCTCCCCAGTCCACTCTTCTCTGCCTCTGAGTCACCTCTGCTCCTTATCAGCTTATCAGTGGCTGAAAACTTTCCCAAACCGAAAGAGCTTCTAACCTTATGTTTTACTTTCCTTCATTTCATATGTTTGTTTATTTTGAGTCAGGGAATTACTATGTTGCCTAGGCTGGCCCTGAACTCCTGGCACAAGCCAAACTCCTGCCTCAGGACCCCTCCACCCCCACCCCACCCCGCCAAGTAGCTGAGAACAACAAGTACACACCACCACCAAGACCTACTCCCCTTCTAATCCTCAAATAAGATATTTGATTGGACTATTTCCCTTTTCTCGGCAGAGCCCTTTTTGCTAGACATTTTTAAAACTATAGTCTGATAGCCTCTAAATTCTAAAGAACTACCTTAGAAGCTGTGGGAGTAGAGACACGTGGCTCCTGCCCACTAGGCAAAATGTGGTAGGACAGAGAAATAAAACCATCTCCCCTTTACAAGTGAGGACATTTTCAGAGAGCTCACAGGGCATTCCAAGGACTGTGGGCTAGGAGGCTGTCCAGGACAGTGCTACAAGCTATCACTGGACCTAAACCTGTCCCTTCCACTTCAGGTACACTTCCTGGTACAAGTGACGGCTGACTGTCTAACTCTGGGTCCCAGGAGCCTGGTGCCAGGGAGCCTGAGATTGTATGCCTTGCTTGCTGAGCTTGAAGGCAATGATGAGCTCCATCATCTATGATGTCACGACACTTTGCAGCAGGAATCCACCCTCAAGTGGGAAAATTCCTGGTTTCTCTTGGTGTGTATGAGTTCCCTCATCAGAGTAAAGTCTTTAAGGATCCTGAGATGGTAAATAAAACATTCTCAAAGTCCACAGATTGTGGGACTAGCAGAAGATTGAAGGTGGAGAAAACAAGCCCCCAGCCAGAACAGCTGCTTTTTGTTATGAGGACAAACAGCCTCCCCTGGGTGGAAAGGGACCTAATATAACCAATCTCCTGCTGTGCAGCAGGCTTCCTGCCAATCCCTCTGGAAATGGCACCAATCTCAGGGAAAAAATGCTGGCTGCTGGTAGGCACTCAGCAGTGCCAGCAGCCAGATCAGCCATGGTGAGTAATGTTCCATGTAGCAGAACCCATGCACAGACTTCATACCTGTGGTTGTGGTCACTTTGTATACAGTGTGGCTGGGAGGAAAGCTAATCTTCACACATGAATGCCTTCTTCTTGGCCTTTGCAGCAGAAGCCTCGGGGAGGAATCATTGAGGACACCCAGCAGCACGCACCACCAGCCCTTCTGAAAGCTCAAGCGTCTTCCTTCCTTGTCACAAGGCTTCTAAATTTGTTCAAAGTCCCCAACCAATCAGTCAAATCTTTGACCACTGCCTGGGAATTAGTGCAGATCCTCAACTTTGTCTTTTCTCCTTTGAGGCAAAGTGCTTAAAGTTTTGGGACAGGAAATATTTCCCTTTGTCACTGTCTTTCAAGGCCTCTCTTAAGAAATACTCAATGCCATGTGGTTGTTCTGTCTGTGTGGCATGGAGTGTGGACCCATCTGTAAGCCAGACCCTAGGTTTTATGCCCATCTTTGTGGAGTTTCCATGAGAGCTGAGTTGGGATTGGTGAGGGCAAGGTCTAAGTGTCCCTGACTCTGAAACACTCAGAGATCTGGACCTACTTGAGCCCACTCTTCTCACAGTTACAGGGCCAACTGGGAGAAGCCCACGAAATGGCCCTACATGAGGCTTTGAGTCAGGGAACAACATGCAGCACTGTTTCTTCCACAGCAACGATCTGCAGGGCTGGGAATCAAGGGATGGAAATAGTATCGAACCTCTCACCATGACCCAATAACCCATCTCTATCTGTGAACATGTGGTGTCTGGAGGTATAGAGGTCTTGGCTGTGAAGGAGCCACTTTCCCAGAGGATGTAGCAACATTCTCATTGATTTCCATGTGATACTGGGCTGCAGATACAGAAAGGTTCACTGAGCTGGTGGAGCAGACACCTACTTCCAAGAGAATTGTATCAGCCACTGCTTATTAGAGAAATAGAGTTAATGCAAGACATACAAATATATAAGAATTTACAGGAATGGCTCACAATGGCTCCCAGCAGAGTAGGTGTGGAAAAGTGAAAAAGGTCTGTCTGCAAACTGGAGGTCTGAAGGAGCCAGTTAAAGGACTGGAACTCAGCACAGTGTCCCATGTGAATCATATCAGGAGGCCGAAGGGTCTGTTCTGGAGACTGAAGAGTCTACACTGTAAGCCAGGAGACGACATCCATAATGAAGGCAAAGACTGGAGCTCCTCCAAAGAAACAGAAGTGAATCTTCCTTCTTTGTTTTCCCCTCATACCATCCAGGCAACAAGCTGCCTGTGGTGTGTTTTCTATCTTCAGTAAATCTCCTCAGCCACACTCAGAATGATGCTGATCCAATTTAATTGGGCATTTCTTACTCAAATTGATACAATCAATTAACTATCACAGAAATGTTAGGTTGGTGCTATACAGTGGGACAAACAAGGACAAGTCAGTGGGTTTTTCTTAGTACTGCCATTGTCTAGAAGAAAATCTAGTGAGAAAGCACAGCTGCCATCCAAACCAGGACCACTGAGGACTGGCCACTCAGAAATTAAAATTTTCATCATTCTACTTGGATGAACCCAGCCAGCAAAGGGAATTTATAATGGGAAATGGGGAAAGAAGTGATAATATCAACCTCATGACAGTGACCAATACAAGAACTATAGTATTTTTAAATAGCAAAACACAATAGAGAAAATATAATAAATATACAGATAGAATATACATGAACAAAAATAGTTTTATGTATACACACACTTTCATTTCCACAGGTGAAGGGAACCAGCATACAACCTGCTGCAGTTTCTAGGATAGCAGTGGACTGGAAGCCACAGGTGCATCTGACAGAGGTGTTGAACTCTGAGACAGACTAAGGATTACTGGGCCTTTACGCCCCCCACCGGGGGAGGTCTATTCAGGAGAGCTGGCTCCGGTGGGGAATCAACTCTTCCTGGGGGCTGGATATGAAAGAACCATGAGAATGATGCTAGGCAGCAAATGCACTGCTGCTCTCTATTCCCTGCTCTCCACCCTGCTCTGCACACAGGTTGACCCCACAGGCTCCCAAACTTCCAGGCCAGCATCCAGCTGGGGGGTTGGACAATGGGAGGCACTGGCAAGAGACTGGTAGCCTCTTCCATGGTCTCCTTGGTGTTTTGGTCTCTGGCTGGGCTGATCCTCATAACTCTGGTTCTAGGACACACAGGGATCCTGGCTTTGGAATTATTGGCTTCCTCTCCTCTCTCTGTTCCTTCTGCAGGAAGCAGTGGCTTCCTGTGATTATTAACCTCTGGGATGCCTTCAAAGCTGCTCAGTCAACTCCTAGCTTTGCCACTAATTCTCCAGATCAGTTTCCAATCTGTGTTTCCATATCTGGCCCATCCTGCATGTGTATGGGGCACCAATATATGGAGAGGAGACTTAGGTATTTTCATCGCTGCAGTTTCATGTCTCACAAAATCCAGATGAGCACTAATGTTTGTGAATCAGTTAAAAACCCAAATAAAGTGGGACTTCTTGGATCATTGCAGCCCTGTCCTAAAGTATCTTAGTTACTTTTCTCCCATTGCTGAGTCAAAATACCTAACACTCAGAGTCAAAGGAAGAAAAGTTAATTGAGCTCACAGTATGTAGAAGTTTCATTCTATAATTGGCTGGCTCCAAGGCAGGTTGGGCATCACAGAGGAGAAAGTGCATGGTGGGCAGAACTAACAAAGCAACGAGGGACAACTATAGCTCTTTCAATCCCTTATATCTTATCCAGGCTATTTAAGATGGGTAGCACTCACATCCTTAATGCTAGTGCCCTTGATCCTTCATTGCACCATGAATTAATCCTAGCAACACACTCTCTATACCCAGTCACCTCTGAAAAAGACCCACCTATGGCTGCATGATGCTTTGGGAGGACATGTAGACACAAGTTGTAACATACTGCCCCTGATACCCCAAAGACTCATGCATATCCTTTTATGCAAAAGCCTATCTCCAACAGTTGCCAAAGTCCTAACAGTTTTAACATTGCTGAAAAGTCTAAGTCCAAAGTCTCTTTTGAGATTTAAAGCAAACTCTTACCTGCAAATCCCTGTACAAATGAAAAAAAAGTTAAACACTTCTAACATGCAAAATATTACAATTTCAAAAGGTACAAATACAGGGATACAAAGGAATGGGACTGAAGCAAGTCCAAAATCCAGCATGGCAAACATGAAGTCCTGTAGTTCCATGCTCAGCATCCCAGATAATCTGTGGAAACATGTGAACTCCAAAAAGGTTGGGTGGCTCAGCCCCTACAGCACTTCCAGTGGTGTCAGCTCCCACAGCATCTCTCTTGGGCCAGCTGTTCCCTCCTTGCAGTTTTCCTCAGATGATGCACATTCCAGGCTTCTTCAAACTTCTGGGTCTCCACGGCACCTTTGGCGTTGCACTCTCAGCTTTACACACTGCTCTTTCAGAGGTACCCTGCCTGGCCTCCCAGGCCTTCTTCTGAAATCTGGGTGGAAGCCCTCCTGATCCCAAAACTCTTGCATTCTACATGCACCTAAAGCCAGTGCCAGTTGATTCTTGTGATGTCTTCAAGCCATCTTTTTTATTGTCTTCTTCTGAAATACTTGGCTTTTCTTGTTAGTCTTTCAGCAACAAATTTTTCCACTGTTCCATCTTTGCAGGCCACAACTTTACTGGAGCTTCCTTTCTGGCCAAACTCTGAATGTTTTAAATCATTCTGCGGGGATTTTTGCTCTTGATTCTTAACATAAATTCGGCTAAAACCCCCAACAGTAGCCATGCCACCACCTCAACATTAGATTGCCTTGAAATTTCTTCTGCCAGATTATTTAGTCCACTGCTTTAATATCAGACTCAGTCAAAGTCTCTAGACACAAGCAAAATGCAGACAAACTTTCTGCCAAGGCATAACACACACTGTCTGGAGTCCAATGGCCAATGTAGTCCCCCTTCCCAGTAGAAACCTGCTAAGCCTAGTCTTTACCAGCATCATTTGTATCAGCATTCTGGTCTTCTGAACTCTGTTTAGAATCTTCCATCAAGTACAGCCTAAGATGATCCAGCCCTACTTTTTCAGTTAGTATCCCTGAACCTTTCCAAACTCTTCCTGCAAGCCATCTCCAAAGGCTCCTAAACCACACGGTTAGGTACAGTTACAGCAACAATCTCACTCTTGGTACCAAATTTCTGTCTTAGTTACTTTTCTCTTGTTGCTGAGACAAAATATTCAACACCCACAAGTTAAGGGAGGGAACATTAATTTAGCTCACAGTTTGTAGAGGTATATATAATTGGCTGGTTCTAAGGTAGGGTGGCTTAGCAGAGGGGCATCACAGTGGAGAAACAGTTCATGACGGGCAGAAGGTAGCAAAGCAACAAGGGACAATGATAGCTCTTTCTATCCCTTACATTTTATTCAGGCCACTTAGGGTGGGAGGCACTTACACCCTTAACCCTAGTACTCTTGATCCTACAATGCACCATGAATAAATCCCAGCATCACATACTCTAGATCTAGCCATCTCTGAAAAAGACCCACCTACTACTGCATGAGGCTTTAATGGTACATCTAGACACAAGTCATAATAGAATAGTTGCACCCTGGCATCCTCTCTCCATCTTGTGTATTTTATCATACTGACAAAGGAGGTCTGTGTCCTCCAAAGGGCTAAGCTGTCAATGGGATGACTTCCCCAAGATCACCTCTGTCTGTGTATATATCAAGAGAATTCTTTCTTAGAGAAAAACTATATTCTAGAAATTGGATCATAAGAAAATGGAATATAAAAAATTTGGAACTTTCAAAATAGAAAAATAAAAAAGTAATCAGATGCTTTACGAAAAATATCCCTCACTTTCAGAAGGTACCAAAGTCCTAACATTGGGCTGGGGGAGCAGAGAGAGTATGTGGGCCCTGAGGACAGAGAGGGGCATGCCCACTGGACTCAAGAGTTCCCACAGGCAGGAAGCTCATCTGTAGCCCTACCAACTACCGAGGGCTTCCTGCTCTCTCAGCCTGGGCAGCCTGTACCTAGCTCCAGCCCATGGCCTGCACTGTATGTGGCCCAGGTTCTGCCACCACTCTGGCCTTGCAAGGGATCAAGCTCTGCCCAGACCCTCCACAGCAGTCAACTGAGTTAGTCCCAACAATTCAACTCCTGTTTTCCCCGAATCCCATTCCTCTGGCTGGTTCTTCACCTATATAAAGCCACCAAACTGTTCAAGCCAGAAGGGGGTCATTTGTTTTTTACATTCTTTATGATTCAAATGGAATGCAATTAACAGTGGTAGAGAAGGTGAAGTGAGAAGCCACTTCCTAGAGAGGACAGAACCTGGAGGGGAGCAGCTGCATGGAGCTGCTGCATTCCAGGTCTGGAGCATCACAGTATCCAGGCCAATGACTCTAGCTAAGCTCTGTTCTCTGGCCAGGAAACAGGTTCATGGACAGGTTTGGTTTTCAGTCTTTGGGGTTTTTTGTTTGTTTGTTTTTGTGGCTGTTTTCTTAAGCTTATATGCTAATCTTTTCATTTTTATTTGTTCCTATTTATATACTAATTTCAATAGAAAGTTCATTTTAATCCTGCTCAAGATTGTTATATGTTACTACTTCTATGATTGACTATATCAAAGATATCAAAACATTGACTCTGAACATAATTCTTCAAACCTGCCAGAGATTGATGCAACACGAAGGCTGCCTTGAACTCTGGCCCTGCAATTCATTATAAATAATGTCTTTGCCTGCCAGTCTACCTGTTTAAAATGGGCATGGTGGTGGTCAACAGAGGACCCAGTTCCTATCATGGACATTCAGTATGGTGCCTGGCAGAATCAAATGCAATATAAGCACTACCTCTCTCTTCCTCTTTCATTCACGTACAAAAGGAACACAACAGTATGGTAAGCCCCTCCCAGCACCACCATGCCTCAGTGCCCACCATCACCCAACTCTTATTCATGGAATCTCCATGCTCCTGCTGTCCGGCCCACACATCACACCACTTTATCCAAGTGTATTTCCCTAGGCATTTCTGCAAGATAGGAGCTCTTCTTGAAAACATAACAGGGACCTCTTCCTGACTCTGCTCTTTACCTCCATACAAGGTAGGATACAAGAAATAAAGACAGGTATAAAGGAGACAAAGAAATCAGGGTTTTAATATTATACTTTTAAGAAAAATTGCAGCTACTCAAACCTGTTTTTTTTTCTTTTCTGGGAAACTCACAAAAACATAAGTCCTAAGGGTCTTAAAGGCACAATAAACCTGTAATGGGCACTTGAAAATTGTGCTTTCTCTCACAGACCTCCATCCCCAAGGAAGCATCAATAAAGTGGGCATCAGATCTCAACTTCAAACGCAGGTAAATGGTTTGCATTCTGACATAGCCCAAAGGGTGGGTAATGTGACAAACAGTAGGAACACACATCCTAGATCACTCATTTCAAAGCCACACCAAGACCTCATAAACATAACCAGTTTCATATCATAGTGTGTCTCATTTATCTGAATGCCTGCATTCTCCTCCTGAGTGTGTGCTTTTAAATTTCTGCCTAATACAGGAATGACTCAATTGATAAATGCTTCAGTTTATAACAGGATTCAGCAAAATTTTGCTTCTGTTAATGAACTGGGCATCAAGTGATGAACATGAGTGCAGCCATCCTCCTTGCTCTGCCATGTGGTCAAGGCTTCCTCTAATTGAGATGGCCGTCACAGACAGACCTATGCACATTTGCTGGGAAGCTTTTTTGTATGCTTTTTAGCACATTCAGGGCTGTATAGTATTATTCAATTCAGCATGGCTCCAAAGAAAGGGCAGAGCAAGCATGCGATAAAAACAAAGCGCAGAGTGGCAGTGAGGTGACAAGAATGTGCAGAGCAATAATGAAGGTGACAACAAAGGGTATAGGAAGAATGGTAGGAAGAAGGCATTGAAGAAAAGAACCATTGCACTGAAGAAGGAAACTGTAGAAAAGCAGGAACATGATATTTGTGTGTCTGATCTGGCCTCAGATTACAAGATGGTGAAGTCCACAGTCTTGACTATTTTGGGGACTAAATATTCCATCAAAGAAGCTAATGTGGCAATGTTAAGCACACAGAGGGCACAAGTGCTGGAAGAGGTGGAAAACTTCTGTTAGTGTGGTTAAATGGAAATAGCTAGTAGATAGATAATAGCATTATTGAAGCTATGATCTGTGAAAAAGCCAGGAACTTACACAGTGATTTACTGCAAGAAAATCCCTCTACAAGTGCAACAAGTGATGAATTTAAAGCCAGTAGAGGGTGGTTTGATAAATTCCACAAGAGAGGTGGCATCCACAGTGTGATAAGATATAGGGAGGCCTCTGTAGACAACTATGAGAAAGAATTCATGGAATTCATGAAGGCAGAAGGATATTTCACTCAACAAGGACTTTCTGGAAAAAGATGCTGAACAGAACCTGTATCACTCAGGAGGAAAAGGCACTGCTGGCACACAGCCCTGACCCTTTTGCTGTGTATGAATGCAAGCACTGATCTAAAGATTAAGCCACTATCGGTGCACTATTCCCAAACCCCTTATTCATTCAAGAAACAGAACATAAACAAGGTCAGACTGCCTGTCACATGGAGGGCCAATGCAAAAGCTTGGGTCACAAGGCAATTGTTTATGGAATGGCTGCACAAGGTGTGAGCACCCACCATTAAAAAATATCTTTCTGCCGGGTGTGGTGACGCATGCCTGTAATCCCAGCACTCAGGAGGCTGAGGCAGGAGGATCGCTGTGAGTTTGAGACCAGCCTGGGCTACATAGTGAGTTCCAGGTCAGTCTCAACTACATAGTGAGACCCTGTCTCAAAAAACAAAAAACAAACAATAACAACAAAAAAATATCTTTCTGATAAACAACTGCCTTAAAGTTGCCTTCTTCTGATGAACAGTGCCCCAGTACACCCTTTAGCTTTGGTGGATGATATGGATGCTGAGTATAACTTCATGAAAGTTGTTCCCCCCCACAACATGACACTTTTCTGTAGTTCACAGATGAGCAAGTGTTCTGCAACTTCAAGAAGCTGTGTAAAAGGTGCTTCTTACCTGATGTTTTGTTTGTTTGTTTGTTTGGGTACCGAGGATCGAACTTGGGACCTTTTGCTTGCAAGGCAAATGGCAGAACCACTAAGCTAAATCCATGGCCCCTTTACCTGATTTTTTTTTAAGGGTAAAATAAGTTTTTATTTATAGTCTTATAGTAAAGGGGGAAGCCTTAACTTGCAAAACAATTCTTCAGCAGTATGTACAACATACTTTTTATTTCCATGGAATGGAATCAAACACAGACAGAGACTACAGAGTATACACTAGAAATTAGCAAATGCCAGGAACAGAGTAGGCAAAAGACAAAGAAATGAGGCCTAAACACACAATACCCCTTCACTGGGATCTGCTGACAGCAGCCAGGACCAGGGCTGGATCACACAATGGAGACAGGGTCCAGGATAGGAGGAAAGAAAGCAGGGTGAGAGAAGAGGGGAGGGCCACACTGGGGTGTGGGTTTAGTACCAGGTAAACTGCTCTTGGTATTTACATTACAAAAATCTATTTCTATTTCTTAGAAATACACACGAAAAGAAAAGGAAGATTTGATCATTACTTCATGAATCTGTCACTTTGCTATTCTGACATCACCAGAAGGAGAGATGCTCACTCAGATTCAAATTTCAGTAGCAGGAAATAAAATGTATTCCTTTCAGGGATTCCCTGCCCTTTACCTGATGTTTTAATGTCACTGAATAGATGTCCTTGACTCTGAATAATTCTCGAAGAAACAATTCAATCTCCTCCACTACATCAACCTAACTGACAAAGCCTGGGAAGATGTCACATACCACACCTTAAATTCAACATGGAGGAAACCGCGGCCAAAATGTGTCCCTGAACATGACCCTGAAGAGTCTAATGCATGGGTAGTGGAGGAGATCGTGTCCGTGGCAAGAGTATGGGTCTGGACATTGACAGTGTGTATAGGAGTTTGTTGAAGACCATAAGGAGGAGCTGATGACAGAACAACTTGCTGAAGACTCCAGAGTGAGCGGCAGAAGGCATTTGTGGAGGAGCATTCCACTGAGGAAAGAGGAAGACAGGGAGGAGGTGAGCAGGGATGTGATAATCCACTATGGAAATCCATAATCTATTATGGAGAAATGGAGTGAGTGCCAGGATTTCTTTGAGAAGCACCACCCCAACACAACTGTAATGAACATAGTTGAATCTGATGAACATGAGGATAACATGGTCTTTCGTTTCTGGAGGGTTATGAAGCACAGGAAAAAAACGAGTGACATTAGATAGAGTTTTTGGCAAAATGGACCCTGCAGCTAAGGGACAAAGTAGAGAGGAAGATCTTGAAGGAGATCTCCCCGATGTCTTTATGGAGGGGACTCTCTCTTCAAACAATAACTTCCTCCCCACCCTGCTTCCTGTCCTCCTCCCCAGAAGTTGCCTCTAGCAAGGTTAGTGTTCTTCCTTTTCACACTGTACTGTACTTTGTTTCATATTTTTGTGCCTAAAAAAACACATATGGTTCAGAACAGATTAACCTTATTTACATTAAACCTTATGGGAAGTTTTGATTTGATTCAAAACTGAAAGCAATTTGTGACCATGTTTGTGGGGGTCAGAATGGATTAATCTTATTTACATAGAACCTTATGGGGAAATTTGATGTGGTTCTCGACCAATTTGGTTCTCAACCAGAATCATGGAATGAATTAAGTTCATGAACTGAAGCATCACCATAAATCCCTTTTATTCCTCTTACTGACATGTCCTATAAATTCTTTTTCTAGGGTGGGAGTCAACAAATCTGTGAACTTATCGGGCAGGTAGAGTGGCTT